AGCGATGCTTGATGTTATTTTTTACAAAAAATGCAAAGGAGTCCTCTTCTTGCTGGGAAGACATCTGAAAATGTAAATGGATATTTACAAAGATTGACGAAATAAAAACTAATATAAAAAAATAACTATAAAAAATAACAAAATTAATTTTCCTTCACTGTGACAAATTATCTTTATTTCAATACGCGTCGTACACGAACATGATGGAACATGCAATATCTTCTTTATCTAGAAATTATCTTTAAAACCGCCTTTCCGATATTGCGATCGTTTATGATACTGAAAGAAGTGTCAATTTACTGTCAAATTAATCCAGCGCAGGTGGATCTAAATCGCTAAAGTCGTACGAATCGCGGCGAATTTATCAGACTATTTATCAGACAGCGGTAAAATCGACAATAAAATCTACGACGTGCCAGAAATAAAATCATATTTACCGAGTCGATCATATATGCCAATATTTAAGCCCGCGCTTTTTTATATAATACTTGCATGTAACTTGTTGAACGCCACGGCGACAACGCGATCCGATCGATCGACAGCAATCACCGTGCATCCGTCTTTAATGACCTCCCTGAAGACCAACTGCATCTCTTCGGCAGCTCCGGGATCCTCGTACATACCCATGCCGATCGCAATGCACTCCTGCCGCATGGAATGCTGCTGTACGATCAGAGCATCTTCGATTCTGTCCTTACTAAGCATCCTGAATTCGATAGCGCCTGAGCGATCGGTACCGAGGCAGACGGGCATGATGCGTTACACAGAGATTCGACTGGAAGAAACACTACGACATCACTATAACTAATCGATACACGCGCAAGTTTATCACGCTTGTCTTGCGCATCCCGTCCTATTTTTTTAAATTAAGCGCCGTATCCGATTCAATAAGAAAGCAAGAGAGGGAGATCCTTATTGTTTCCTGATTTTCTTATCCCGATTCTGGTTGAGTTGGAACGAAAGTTCGTAGTTCGATTTGCGTTTATTTGTGTCATATCCACATGTTTTTAAAAACATTGATAAATATATTAATTGATAGAGCAAAGTTTTAGCTTAGGAATCTATTTTTTTAATTGCGATACGATGATTTTTAACAGAGTTATAAGCAATCAAAGTCAAAACGCACCTTTTATTTAATCTGCGATAACATAGTAACCAAAAATCTTAAGAGAAACACATTTTTAATAATGAACGATTTTAAAAAAAATCGGAAAAGTTTAATTTCGGTTTAAGTTTTACGTTAAAAAATCGAAAATTTGTGCAAGTTTAAAAGTAAATGTTTAAAAATATCAAGCAAGTGAGAGTAATTCCGTATTAATATTTGCGTTATCTTTTTTCAATATGTTTGTGTATTTCTTGCAATGCTTACATTGAATTCGAACGTTTTGGCTCACTTCGAGTCATCATCAGTGATGTACATACTAATTATTTAGATCAAAAACCGTCAATTAGTCCAAATTCTAATTGATCCTAAGTGATGGAATATTACGGTAAGTAAAAATGAATAGATTACAATTGTATAGTTCAAATGATTCATCCGTTGAATGTGAGAATGTGGTTAAAATGTGCATATCAAATTTGTGTGGAATTATGTCATTTTTAAACGTCTTACGACTATCCTCTACCACGCCCAAGCAAATAATAAAGAACAAATTCAACTTATGGATCCATAAATAAGATCAATCGCTCGGTGAATAAGCTGCATTCCGAAATCTATTTAAAAAAAAGTATTGCAACCTTTGAAGCCTTGTACGTTAATACATCACTGATGATGGCTTGAAATGAGCCGAAACATTTGAATTCAATGTAAGCATTACAAAAAATGCACGAACATATTGAAATTGAAAAAAGATTATTGCGGAGTTACTCTCACTTGCCCAATATTTTTAAACATTTACACTTTTAAATCTTAAGAGTCTAAATACATTCTTTTTTTTTTGTAAGTTTTTTTGGCTTGTGACAGGCTCATAAAGTGAGATGAAAATTTCCCGTTTTCCAACTCGTTTTTTCTTTGTTTAAAAATTATCAAACTCACAGAAACTCAAGTGGCGTAGTAATCTTTCGAAAGTAGAGATTTTAAGCTTTAAAACCGTTTTTTAAATTTTGTTCAATTTTAATGAAGTTATCGCTGCTTAAATTTTGGCTACAAACTTTGTTTCAATTCATATGTTAGTATTCTAAAGCGTAAATTTTAAAATTAATACTTTACATTGGCTGTCGCAGCAAACTTGCGATCGACTTGCGATTACTGTAACCATGATTAAGAAAGAGGCGAATTCTTAAATCTTAAATATTTTATCAAGCGAGACTTGCAGTATAAATTATTGCACAAACTTGAATAGAACGAAGTCTTATATTCAAAATATTTTAAATGCCAATTGCAAGCAACCGAAGTTAAAAGTTACAAGAATAATATTCGAAAAAATTATAGAAAAATATCTGTGAATTCAGTATTTCACTGTTCTATCCACATTTTCAACTATTTCACGATAGATGATTACAAACACTCGCATTCTTTGTATCTGATACAAATTTTTTATATTAATTCTGGAGCTATGGAGAAAAATGTCATTGAAGGCTGAAACAGGAAGAAACGGCAAACAGGGAAAAACTTCACTTTGAAGCACAACGAAAGCGATCTTACCGGATCGAGATTCACGAGCGGTGTCTGCTGTTGACGGGACGCCGGGATATCGCCAGGAGATAAAAACTATATCGCAAATCGCTCCCCATTGTATACATCCCGTTTGATTACAGGCACTATCGTACTCACGCAGCGATTTAAGTTAATAACCGACAATCTCACGTAAGCCGGAGGCTATCTAAGCCGCTGGAAAGCGTCATGTTAACTTCCTCATTATCATTATCTTACTTACTATCACTTTACTACAGTGGATACGTAGGAAAATTTCGCGTCTTGTCGCCGATAAATCTCTTTTTGTGAAAATGAAGGTGAGATACAAGGTTCTGATTATACGAGATTTAATTTATTAAACTTCTGTGAAATAGATTTGATTTTTAGTCTCTTAATAACTGCTTACAATATGCTATCTAACTGTGATGTCTAGCTGTGTGTCTAGCTGTGCACAAATGGCTGTGACAATCTTGCAGTATTTGTGCAATTTATTTTTATGAATGAGTGAAGCTTGCTTTAGATCTATAATATAGATATCGGGATAGAATTTTATCTGTAATTTTATCTACGATAATTTTATATGCTATGCAGTTTTATCTACGTATGATATATATTAACACGGAAGTAGAAGTACCGAGCATTTATTATTGATCGTATCTATTTTTTAGATTAATATTATATATATTTTTTTACATAAAAGATAAAAATCTGAAATTTGTTGACTTATTAATGATTATGCCATTTATACTAATAAAATATTTAATTTTTTATCATTTTTATTTTTACAGTAATTTTTACAGTAATTGCATGATCCTTTTAGGGAGTAACAACATCAATATTTTTAATATTAATATATATCTTATACAGTTATATTCTAATTTTTTTTCTATCACATAAAATAGGATACAGATTTCTCTCTTGAAGTGACGCAAATTATCTAAGACTTTAATTGGAAGCTTCGATGATACAATTATATTGAAATAATTTATAAATATATCATAATATTAATTTATTAAATACAATTAATTGATTAGTTTAATAACTTTAATTGTTTACGAGATATAAAGAAATACAATAACAAATATTTCGATGCCGAGTCATTCTCAATGTTAATACACATTCAAAAAATTATAATATTACATAAGAGTTATTGGTTTCTCAGATCAAAATTACAATATTACATAAGTTATCTAATAAAATTATAGTTTTGATCTGAGAATCCGATAACTTATGTAATATTATAATTTTTCGAATTTGTTATTGTATTTCTTTATATTTATTTTGGAATGTTAAATGTTTTTAATTTATTTTTAATTAGCTCGTAGTCCTTCTATTTATTTATATTGAATTATTCTAAGTGAGTCATATTATTAACTTATATTTTAATTGTTTAATTCAAGATTTTGGTAACGTTACTTCAAAAATAACTCATTACCATTCTTTTTCCTAAAAAGCAACTCATTATCGTTACCCGTTATTGATTTACAAAAGTAACTCGTTACCGTTACCGTAACTCAAAATGTAACGAGTCATTATTTTTTTTCTTGTAACGATGTTACAAATAATACGTTACTTGCCAATCCTTTAATTGTTATTTGATTAGAGAAAGGGAGAAAACAGGAGTGCTGCAGAATTATTGGGAAAATTATTTTAACATTTATATGCAAATTCAAAGTATTAATTTGTTTGTATTTATATTCAAATATTTGAATCAGATTTCTGATTACATAAAAATGACGCTACGTGTAAATAAAAAGTTTTATATAATACATTATATAATATAGGATACGATCAATTTTTCGTCATTATTGTCGCACGAAATCCACAAATCCAATATATTTTTCCTCATATCTGATTACGTTCCTATATGTCGTAAGAGTCTATCAAGCATTATTCTCTAATTCTATTCAAATATTATTATTTTAAGAATACATCCATTTATTTTTCCGCTGTGATGCAATTGTATGTAATATTGATAAAACGCAATATATTTATACAATATATATATACAATATATGTAAAATTTTATTTTTTGTAACTTCTCTTTTTAGAACATAATATAATATTAGCAAATCAATTATCAGACAAAATTACTTTTCTCTTGAAAACTTTTTATAAAAATACCTTCAATCTTTCGATCACTCCAATTTACATAGTACTCATATTTTTTTATCTTAAAATTTTGACTTTAAAAAGATATTATCGTAAAAATAAGAAAAAATTAAAAATACATTCAGAAATAAAATCCAGATCTTACAAACTTTGAATAATTCTATCATAATTATATTGAAAAAAGCAAAGCGAAACTCAAAACAGAATTTTTTAAGATTATTATACAAAAATCATTAAATAAATTGATCTCGCGAATTGATGAACACTTTCGTACAGCTTGATTGATATCTATAACCCCAACTACATAATCGTTTATTTTTCTTCTTCAGGTTACCTGCAATTCGTTTCAAAAAAGAAATACTTTTAGAAAACTTTTGTAATATCTTTTCCTATTAAAACTAGTCGATCTATTTCTTTAAAAATTGCAATTATTAATCATTTTTCTCGAAAAATTAAATTTCTTAGTTATAAAATGCCGTTCATTCGGTCAGCAGGCTGTTTTTCGCGCGGTATAGTAATTCTATCGAGTAAGATTGAAGTTATTCATAAAAATTTGTGCCTATTACATTATAATATCTATTATTATTTCTAATTTATTTGGGTGAATCAATAAATAATCTTAACATGCATTATCTTGATTTTTGGGACAAAATTTAATTTACTTATTGAGAATCATTTATTGTACATTACTCCTAAATCTAATCAAACTTTATAATGCGAGTGGCTTTCCTAACCATAAACTACTGGCGCAATTATTGTCTACATCGGGGAGAGCCTTTTAGCTACCAAGACACACTGTCGGTGTTCCTGGTTATTTATTCTTTCGCTATATTTCTTTCCGTTGTACTCGTACTCATCGTACGGAACTTTCAAAAGCTGGTCGAAATGCAATTTCATCGCAATTTGATAGGAATAATTGGACGTCATGATAGCGGAGACCAAGGTCGGCACTGCGTCGGCGTTCGTCACTTTGTTGCTACCTTGTATCGTGATAGGTATTCTCACGTTTTTGCCACGTCTCAGCTCTTTACCAAGCTCCAATGAAGAAGCGACCAGCATTTCACCTATTCGTCGTTTCCCGTAATTGGGCAGAGTCGCCAGAAACATGATCTCGAGAATACAGTTGACATAATAGTGCTTGAAGAGATTTGTTCGCGAATCCACATCTATCATGAAGTCCACCAGAGCTTTTGATGATTTGTATCGGCAATTTTCACTGAAGCGTTCGAAGAAGCTTTTCTCTGAACTATTGGAGGACATCTGATAAATTGAAAGTAGCCGTAAAAAAATTTAAGATCTGACAACTTATTAGGGATCAATACAAAATGTTGTACTGGAAAATTGTTCACTCACTTGGATTTTATTGAACGCGACTCCAATAACTTCGTTAGTGGTGACGTCGACGGCCACCACACTCACGCCGTCCTTAGCCGCGTACAAACAGAGCTCCTCGAGTTCCTTGGATGCTCCCGGTTCGGAATTCAGTTCCACAGCTATGCATACTTTCTCGTAGAGGAAGAAGCTCTTTCTTATCACATTGAGAGCACCCTCCAAGGTATCGTCCGACAAAGACTCGAATTCTATCTGACCGTTCTCTATCGAGCCCCAAGGCTGGTAGTAGGACATATTTTTGTGCGTGTTGCTGAAAAACAAACATGATTTTGTTACGATTATTTCGAAGAAACTAAGTTCAAAATGAAATAATATGAACAAGAAGAACTTCAATTACTTCAAACAAGGGGGGCTATGGAAATTGGCACGGTATAAAAAGTGCGTATCAGGTTAAAGTTTTAATAAGTCACATTTACTCACAATCATTAAATCAATTATTTAAAATTTTACAACAGCCTCCCTTTGATTTAATCTGTTCCAAACGAAATTTCAAAAATTATAGATTATCAGGTACATTTATGATCTCGCGAAGTGATGGGCATACAATCACGCTATCATAACTTAACTTATACTTCGAATTATACATTAAAAAAGATGAAAGACATCTAAAAGATAAAAAAGGTCAAAATATGTATATATTCTATTATAAAGATTGCACTTAATATTTTAATAATAAATTAATGCAACGGAACAAAAATACTATAAACATAAAAGACTATATCATATACTGCTATAATTATAAAAGATATAAATAAGTTAAATAATAGTAAGTCAATAGTTAAAATGAAGCTAACAAATTTATCGGTTTGAGACGAGAATCCTGTTAAGTCGAAAGGAAGTAATATACAACTCGTGTAATCAGATATTGTAAAAAAAAGCTAGCTAATCTATTAAAAAACAATCGGAAGAAATATTTTAATAAAGTAAAATAAAATAAAAAAGTAAGAAAACTTCTTATTTCTTAATATAATTATACAGAGGAACGAGTATGGATATTTAATAAGTGCATGAAGAGATATTTATTTTTATTAGAGATATTTATAATAACAGACATAATAATAGACAGAAATGTAACAGTAGAACAATTAATTTCTCCGAGCCATAAAAGTTATATTTTACTTATTTTTTAATTTATCTATCAGAATTTACAAAAAATTGATTGTGCCTTTGAATCCTAACACATTGCAAACAGAGGGTTAATCACACTTTTTTGGAAAAATTAAGTTTTTCAATTATGAAATGCCGCCATTCATTCAGAAGCAAACTTATCGCGCATTATTTATTGTAAAATTGTTGAGTAAAAAAAAATCTCGATAACGTGTACATATATACATAAAATAAAGTAAAATAAAATTATTTGTACATTTTTATTTGAAGCAATAGTTTTTGAGATATAAGGGTTTAAACGTGGTCAAAATTATGGATTATATTTATACATGTATTTATGCACTGAAGTGTGTGCTAAATTACGTACGCATTACATGACTGTCTAAATATAATCTGTAATTGGCTGTATTTAAACTCAAAAGCTACTGAAATAAAAATGTATACATAACTTCTTTACTTATAATTTTTCAAAAACTTTCTTGCTATGATATCTTGATTCATGGATTGAGGATACCTTATATCTATTTTAAACTGTATATAAATAAATACATATTTTACATCATATTTATTATTATATTTTGAAAGCAGTATATATAATGAAAAATATAACTTCTCTCAGGAATACTATTTTTATTTTCGAAAAGTACGATGAAAGAATACGATACGACACGGGCAATATAAATACTTCATATTTATCAGAAAAAGTCAACGTTCGGGAATAGATGCAATGATAATTTATCTTATACTCAGGGAATGGAAGGTTTTTAAAAGTAACAAATTAGAATTATTTGTTATCGAGTAGAAAAAGTAACAAGTTATCGTTACTAGTTACCGATTTTTAAAAGTAACTTGTTACAGTTACTATTACTTGAGAAAATAACTTTTTATTACTTTTCCGTTACTTTTTTAAAACCGACGACCATTAATCATAGCAGACGAGTGCCTCAGGACAGTTGACGGGAGTTTTCAAGTCTCAAGCACTATAAGTATAATAGCTAATATCTAATCGAACCATGCCCAATCATGTGTAAAGAAACAATAAAGTAACTATAAAATTTGTTACCGTTACAAAACTCGACAATATAAATGTAACGTAATATGTATTGTATGTAACATTGTTTAATGTAAAATTATAACGTTGTTATATTATTATGTTAATTCGTATTTACTGCGCGACGATTGTAACTGGAAAATTATAAGTATATATTGTTATCGGTGCTCTTAATCTAATTGTTAAATTTATTTAAATTGAAATAAATTTTGATTCTTTAGCACTAATCATCAATATGGCTAAATCGTAAAGAACGTTACCTCATTTTGACAAGGAGATTTTAACACAATGCCTGTTTGTGATGCACTGAAGTATTACAAACGTACTCGCATGCATGGAGCATGCCTAATGACAGATGACTTGGCTTCAGGGCTGCACTTAGTTTCAAGTGTGGTACTTAGAGTGTAAATATGATACGCGATACTAGTTTGGATATTTAACAAATGCATAAAGAAATATTTATTAGAGATATTTTCCTATTAGAGATTTATCCTTGGATAATAACAAACATAAAAAATAATAAACGGCAAGAAATGTAACGCACTGCAGAATAACTGATTTATTTGTTTGATCACTAGTGTCTCGCACATGCAATGAAAAAAATTCCTAAATTTAAACAATATTTTCATAAATGATACTAAATATAAGCGTTTTTTTTCATTGCAGATATATATATATTCAAAAATATTATAAATATATATATTCAAAAAAAGAAAGTAATATTAAATTAAATAATATATATTTACGTTTAACAAATATTTATTTACAATAAGGAAATGTTTACTTATTGTTAGTACTATTCAAAAAAATATTACTCGATTTAGGAAAGTTTTCCTCGGTGTATAAACGAGTCTTCCACGTACCTGCTGATAAGTACGATCCTGGTAATATAATAGACGTATATATATACTTCGACGGCGTACAGTGAACACATTTCAGCGCAATGTAATAAATATATGTATTCGCTCTTTGAAAGGCTGCATTTTCCTTCACCACGTTCGCTACCGTTGTCTTTTAATTCGCGTATATTTATGCCATTGCCTTTTGTTATCGCGCCTCCGATTACTCCATTCCGTAGACATTGACCTCTGTTTGATAAATATACGTGTAATGTATAATCTCAAGAGTTCTATCTTTGAACTTAATTAAAGTCTAGTAATCAAGATTATGATGTTACTGCGAATGTTACTAAAGTGTCCTATTAAGTTTGTTGCTTACTGCGTACGTAATAATTATTATATACCCAGTGAACAAAAAACATATTAGAAAGTTCTAGAATGTGTATTTTAATCGTGGAAAAATTAATGACAGCGTCACTAGTTTTTTTACTGTTAAATTACACTTATATAATGGGAGCATTCAGAACGACAATCGCTCATTGAACGCTCAATGAGCTCAATCTTTTATCTGATTGACATATTAGATCCTAAAATATAGATCAATCAGATGAAAAAGCTTACTGAGCGCTCAGTGAACGGCAATCGTTCTGAATGCACCTAAATTATATGTAACTTAAAGTACTTAAATTATATTTCTAGCGGGATTACCTCGTAAAAATAACTCGTTACCGTTCTTTTTCCTAAAAAGTAACTCGTTACCGTCACTCAAAATGTAACGAGTCATTACTTTTTCGTTACTTTTTTTTCTTGACAATAGAATATTATAGCGTTTTTCATTGCCAGAACTTGTGCGCATTCAGTGCACACTATTCTAATCTGAATAAAAATGAGAAAACGCTAATTATATGCAGATTTTTGGTAAATACAAAAAAGATATCGGAATTTTGCAATATGCGATTAATCTTGGGTGACGTCATGAAGGTCATGTCAAAGCGATTTGAATTTTTTTTATGGGAAGGTCATGATCTTAACAATGCCACCTAAGGTCAATCACGTATATCCACGTAATGTTACTTGATGCCCAACAACTTTTGTCTTTGAAACATTTTTCAAAATAACCATTTCCCTCGTTTTTAAATAGAGTATACAAATGATCTGAAACACCCGGTTTATACGTATATAGTATAACATATATGCTCTAGTTACGACTAAAACTTTTACCTAGCTAATAATACAGTAATGATAAAAGTAAGTAAAATCGTTACCATTATTCCAAAAATGTAATTGCGTTACCATGTTAAGGTTACTCAAAAATAAAAGTGACGTCATTCATTCGTTACCGAAAAAAGTAACTTGTAACGCTAACGACGTTACAAGTAACGCGTTATTTGCCAATCTTGATTTCTAGTATATAATAATAATTGTTATTATTAACATAATTATAAATACGACAGGAAAATTTCTAGAATATACAAGCAATGTTACACCGTTGCTGCAATGTTCGAATTTTTCAAGTTTCTTGCTTGCTGGTAGTGTTCTGCGTTTCGCATTCGCATGTAATGTTCTAGCATGTTTGTAATATGTACATGGAAAAAATTTTCCTATCGTATGTATAATATATTGATATGTTATAATAATAATTATTCAAGGATGAATCTCTGATTGGCAAATTTGATTATCGTACTCCGCAAAAACATCGTATGACACACCGCAAATATTCAATTTTAATGCATTAAGAGTCAGCACATGAGCGGAAAATATTTATTTTGAAAATTGTGCCTTAGCGGAAGTGTTTATTTTGGTAATCGTATACATAAGCCAAAAATACTTATTTAAAGTTTCGCGAATGAATAAATTAGACGATTCTATTAGTGATATTGATTATCAATTACTTGATAAATTATCTTTTTTTTTAGTCATTTATTATAGGTCTTGGAGAGATAAAGCACATCGAATTTTTTTTAATTTATATTTGCCTTATACTTTCCCACCAATGGTTGCAATTAGTAGTCAAATATTTTAAGTGCTCTACTTAAAATAAGTATTTTTAATATCCAATAAAAAAATCCGACAAAAAAATTTTCATGCATATTAATATGTATAAACATATACGAGTATGAATATGTATAAATATTCATAAACATATATAATTATATATGAGATATATCTATTATAAATGATGTTAATAGTTCAAACGCTCGAATAATGAGATATTAAAACAGATAAAGTCACTTTTGAAAAATAAGATTCATACTTATATTCGATCTTCAATCTTTGATTCCGTGCTTAAAAAGTTTGATAAAATTAGATAAGGAAAAACTCTATCTGATTATAATCTGATTAATACTTGTATTCATAGTCAGGTTTTATATTTAAGGCTTCCTTAAATTTATCTTTAGATATTCTACGAATTATTTCATTAGCTGCTGCATCTAAAGATAAATTGAAGGAAGCCTTAAGTACTGACTATGAATATGGGACATTAATCGTGTTTTCAGATTACTTATCTGAAATATTTAATAATTTTTTATATTTCTGTATCGTTTTTATATAATTTCTAATCAATTTTTATCTGTTCAGCGCGTCCACATTCCTTACTTCAAGACCATTTTAAATATAAATGTTTTAAGATGCTAATATGACTCTATGATTAGTTTATGACATTTTAAACGTTATAACAATTACAGAGCTGTGTTGACATAATTTTATCAATACCAATCTTTAAGGGCTATCACACACAATGACAAAAGTATAGCATAAGACTGCTGGACCAATGAACATCTAATGTAAATCAATACAGCATCTTTTTGTCAGATAATCATTAGTCCAACGATGGTATGCTATGTGTATGCAGCTTATATCATTTGTATGGTAGCCCTAAATTTGACAAAAGTGATGTCATATGCAGTTAGCAACTAAAAGATTGCAACATTTTTTTTTAATAGGTTTCGAAATGCAGCCTACTTATGAATCCATAAATATATAAGAACCAATCGTTCGGTGATACTTTGAAATCCATCGTAAAGAAAGTGTTGCAATCTTTTAGTTTGCTGATTGTACTATAAAATTTATTGTGGAAAATCACTTGTTTCAAAACCGAAAATTTAATCGACGCATGGTTTGTAGAACTAAATACGTATATATGTAAATTTATTTATAATATGAAATATTATTATACATATACAAAGCTTTAGGGCGCATTCACATCTGGATGGAAAAGCAGAAAGCGAAAAAGCAGTGATATCAGAACTCGCGTTGGTAGTAAGTAGTACAAAAAGCTGAAAATGAGTACTTTCCAATTGCTTAACACATCTTGGTATCAATCATGAAACTTTATTCCTAGGATGGAAAGTCAAAGGTGAAAACTTTAACCATTGAAATTAATGAAGAAATTTTTCACTTTTCACTTTTCATTCTAGGAAAAAAGTTTCATGATTAATACCCTTAACATAAATGTACACAGGAATGCATAAAGTGTAGCATTGTGCATGATTCAATTAGAATAGAATATGTATGCTGTGCGCGGTTGTGATAGTTCGTTTTGGATAGAGTTAAATTAAATGTAGCTTTTTCTGCTTGTATTAAATAAAAAAAGGTAAAAGTCTCGGCCACTCAACGCCCTCCAATCTCATTTATAGCCGCCGCGGTTAGTAATATGTAATTGTCACTAGAAAACACAAGCTTACACACAGTCCTTGGCTGAATACAGATGTAGGTGTAGTGTTGTGTCGATGATAACGGACAATTAATGATAGCGGAATGCAACTTGTGTCGCTTTGTGTCTAGGGATATTGCAATTGGAAAGCACCCATTGTCGACTACCAGCGCAAATTCTAATTGACTATTGCTTTCCCGCTTTCTGCTTTTCCAAGAATGAACGTGTCCTTAGCTCAAATCACAAAACCATTCCGCTTACTTATAGTTATATTTTCACATATATCAGTCTAATGTCATTATTGTTAAGAATCAATGAAAATTCAGAGACTATTATTGTTTTTCGATTCTCAGAATACAATGATACAGTTATTAAGAGTTACAAAATAGGTCCCTATGTTCGATTAATATAACAAAAAAATAATTGTATCAATTTTTCTAAATGTTTAATAATTATTACTAAATGGTCGAGAAAGAAATCGAAGATTCTAAATGCAAAAAGTGCAAGCAATGCGAACAGATCTATTAATATATTTAATAATTATCGATGCGTCAGATTTAAATTAAAAGCTATGGTAAGTAAAAAGACCGGTGTGACGAATTAAATTTGGAGGTTTGCTTGATTATGAAAACTGCACCTTCTCCTCAAGGAAACTTGTAACATCTCTTGAGAAAAGGAAGCTAATAAGGCTTCTTATTTGGTCAAGGAAAGTTTATGAAATGTGAAATGAGGAACAAGGAATCCTCATTCTTTAAGGAAGGACTATGAATACGGGTATTAATTACGCATTGTATTTGGCGGCATTTCACAGGCACGTGGGACTCGTTTTATGGCCAATCAAATGCTCCGGAAGGAACGTGAGATTTGTTTAAATGTCCATTTCTACTAATGTAAATGAACTTTAACTCGGTTTAATTTATGCTTTACCTTATTCCAATACTCAAACCTAGGAGAAGATAAAAGAACCGAAATAAACTGCGATTATAGCTAATCAACATTGATAGAAATAGACATTTAATCGCAAAAATACGAACGCGCCTTGCAGTCGCGGCTGGTGTGCGCATGCGCAGCTCGCGCGCGACGAGCAAAAATAAGATGGCCGACCAAGGAAACAAATAGAGCGCCGTCATAAATAACACGAGCCGTCCGAACACATTCCGAGCGTGGGGCCTCCTACATCCGCACGTGTGTTCGCGCGACCCGCGTCGGCGTGTAGATCATCCGCGACATTTGCTCGGCCGACCGCGCTGTTCCCCGCGTGCCTCTTGTGTACGAAAAACGCGCGCGCGCGCGTGTGTACGCACGCACGCTTCGTCCGCTCGCGTTCAGCGTGTTTCGTTTATCCTCGCGTCCGCGAGGAGTAAAGCTCTTTATTCTTCTTCCTTCTCGCTCTCGTTTACACGACGCACGTGCCGCACCGCGTGCCGCGTCGCGTGTAGCCCGCGGAGTCGTGCCGGGGGTGCCGAGGACACGCGGCGGTGGCGGGACCCCACCGAGAGAGAGAGTCGAGAGAGGAGAGGCCGCTGACGAGAGCCTCTTGGTCGTCGCGGAGGACGCCGCGTCGTCACCAGAATGCGATCGTGCGACACGCGCGATACGAACCTCTTCGCACGTAGCCGATGCCCGCGGTCCGTCGCCTAGCTCCTCATGCTAGTCTCGTCTTCCGAATTGCTTGGGGCACAGCATGAAGGAGATGCTCGGAGGGTGCTGTGTGTGTTCTGACGAGAGGGGTTGGACAGAGAATCCATTGGTATATTGCGATGGACAGGGCTGCACTGTTGCTGTACATCAAGGTATTTATCCACCATAAATATGTGTCACAAAGGATGTTTGTTTCACTTGACATTTACGAAGGTTGCGAGCATTACTTGTTCTTGTTTAACATTCAATAAACAACAAGGATGAAATGTTTCTATAAGCATTGTGAGCGTCAAGTGGAATGTATTTAAAATAATTTGACTTTCCTCTGTTGATTGAAAAATAATAAACGTTATTGTTTTGCAGCATGCTATGGCATCGTTACTGTACCAATTGGACCATGGTATTGCAGGAAATGCGAGTCACAAGAACGCAGTGCTCGAGTGGTATAGAGAATTGTTTCTTTGCACTTGAGAATCCTTATCTTAGTATTTATAGCTTTATAACAGATTAATGTACATTTTTATGTATGTAAATTAACTTTAATCTCACTTTATCTTATTCTTTATCTTTTTCTAATTCTAGAAAAAATGAAGAATTAGATAAACAAAGATTAAAATTAAATTAAATTGATAGAAATAGATATAAATATTTTATATCTGTTCCTTTATTTACTATGATAAGATAGTAATGTTTTTATTGATGTATATCGTTATTCCAATAGCGCTGTGAGTTATGCCCGAGTCGGGATGGAGCTCTTAAGAGGACAAATCAGGCAGGATGGGCGCATGTCGTGTGTGCTCTCTATATTCCTGAAGTCCGATTCGGTAACGTGACTACAATGGAACCAATTATATTGGAGCTTATTCCTTCAGAAAGATTTAGCAAGGTGAACCTCGTGACTATTAAACGCGTATCAGACTAGATGAGTGAGGTTGGAATTTAATCAATCTGAAAACCAATATCGAGTTTAGTGAAATTTGTTTGGATTTTAAATTCAATCTCTAGTCTGATACATTACAGATATAGCAATGAGACAAATTGATAACTATGGATACTTTCTATTTGATGATACAAGTTGTCACAAATGTCATTCTCTGAATGTCAACAAGGACAGAAGGACGCTTGTGTCAACTTGTGTCATCAAATGGAAAGCATCCTATGTTTAATAATATTATGTATATGGTTTATTTTGTTTTATAACATAAAAATTAAATGATTTTAGACATGTTATATCTGTGAGGAACAAGGCAAAGGTAGCAGAGCAAACGTGGGAGCTTGCATGCAGTGTAACAAGACAGGCTGCAGGCAGCAATTTCACGTAACCTGTGCACAAGCTCTGGGCTTGCTTTGCGAGGAAGCTGGCAATTATCTTGACAATGTCAAATATTGTGGCTACTGCCAGCATCACTATTCGAAATTGGTGAATAATTCAGTATTGAATATTAATTAACTAGTGTTAATTGGCGAGTATTAGATATTAATTAACACTGAGGTCAGTATTCATACAGTTTTATATTCAAGACTGTCTTAAGTGCTGTCTTGAGGTGTCACGAACCAATCGGAGAATTACAGCGTCATTAAGGCCGATATTCATAGTCAATTCTTATATTTAAGACCGTTTTAAGTTTAGTCTTAAGATGTCATGATCAGAGGGTTACATTTGAGACATTACTTAAGATGGTCTTAAAATAAGACTATGAATACCGGCCTATGACATTACTTAATTCAGTCTTAAAATAAGAACGGACTATGAATATCGTCCTGAGTATGAAAGCTTCCTAGCTAATGTGATCAATTTGCAGAAAAAAGGCGGTAATGTGAAGACGATACCACCGTACAAGCCGATATCCGTTGACAACGGTTCGTCCGACTCGTCGCCGGAAAAGGAGGCGGAGACGCCAATAAAGTCGAGCGGCAAGCGGAAAAGCTCGAGTTCCAAGTCTAGCGCGAATTCTAAAAGTAAATCCAATGCTAGTCCCAGTTTAGAGATAAATGGAGTCGCGGATGATAAGAGCGGTAGTAGCGGTCGTAATACGCCCAAAGATAATTCCAGCACAAGTTCCAGCAAATTCACGACCTCCAATTTTGTCGAGACCGTGGTTACACAGTCGGAGAGCGTGTTCGGACACGATGGTAATAGCGGCACGATCACCACCGTTACCACGACAGCGACCACTTCCGCGATAAAGACGAACGCTGGTAATTCTAACGCGGCGCACAAGACTGTTGGGGGCCAGGGGAAATCCAACTCGTCGACCTCCAACAAAGCGTCGAGTCACATCACCAAGAAGAGGAAGACCGGGGCACGTACACCGACTGTAGGAAACGATAATTCGAATCAATCGGCCAGCTCGGAAGCCAGCGGATCGGTGGTAATGGCGGTCAGCTCCGTAGTGCAACAGACCGTTCCGAGTAACAACGTGCAGCCAACAATCACTGAAGCCACTAGCTTAAGCGTAACCACGGAACCAGAAAAATCGAAAAAGGTAAAGTTTTTCGTACATTATTGTATTAAACTAATTTTAGCACCCATTCTTGAATGTGAAAACTTTAAACATGAACTTGGAAAGAATTCTTTATAATTAGTCTCACGATATTTCAAATTCAAGAAATTTTATTATAATTTGTAATAAACTAAATAATTAATTAAAAAATAATTATTAAATATTGAATTAATCTAATATATGTAAAAAAAAAAGTGCGAATATAATACTTTGTATTATACCATGAATTTTTTATTTTCTATAGACACATTAATTGTAAATTTTATAAATATTATATAATAACTAATAATAATTTGAAATATTCGTGATATTTACTTATATTACTGCAAGA